GAGACATTGCTTGTCTAAGAGGTGTCTTACCTTGCATAAAATCCTCAAATTAACCCACTTTTGCTCATTCCACGCTCATATTGTCACTCTTGCCTTTCCAATGTGCTGCTTCGCAACCCTGCCAGATGAACGTGCTGAGCACTTCTGGTTTACAGGGCTCCCACCGGTGGCCGAGAGAGCTCAGCCAAGGTCCAAGGACCCTATGTCTAAGTGGCACCGTTGGCAGTGTGCTTGGGGAAAACAGAGCTGGAAATCAGGCAAAAGATTACAGTCTGGTTAGTCTGTTCCTGGAACTGACTGCAGTTAGTGGAGCTTCCCTGCACAGGGACCCCTGTCTTACAAATGAAATGTGGGTCAGACACAGGGTCCGCCACAAGCTTTCTGTAGGACCTTCCTGCTGTTAGGAGAACCAAATGTGACATGTCTTGACTTCCATTTGGTTTGAGATTAAAAAGTTCTTACAGCAATATACTGGTTAGAGTATTGCTGCCCCTGGTAGGTTTGCCATTGCTGATGTGTCCACCCTCCCAGTTTTGTTGGCAAAGCCCTTCATGGTGGTTGCAATGGATTGGAACCAAAGAAAAATTTTTCCAAGATGGAGGAAAAAGCAGCAAACAGAAAATGGTGTGTATTTTCACACTGATCTGATTCATGGTGAAATTCCAGAAATAGCCATACTAGCGTACCTGGGTACTGAAGGGTACATATCCAAGCTCCATCCCAGACTGCTCAGATGCTGAGCTTGATAGTAATGCTTCTTCCACAGCAAAGGAGCAAAGAGAAGGGATAACGAATTGTGACATGAAGAGAATAATTAGTCATCTTGGGAACCTCCCCAATCTGACTTGGCTTTAGTTACCAGTAGCACTTGTACAAGAACATGCTATTAAACAGGCACAACATGATACTGCAATGAGTCATGTCGTACAAAGCTGATATTAATCAGGAACATCCAGAGAAAATAGGTCACGATCCGATAAGATTACTTTTTATCAGGAATCCAGTATTAACCTTATTTACCCTTGATGTTCCTTTGTTTTCGAGTGTATATGCTGATTGATTTTCACTGCTGTAAATGAGTAGAACTCAACACTGAATCCAGGTTATCTTAGATACACAATAGCAACAGTATTTTCTTGTCATGGGCATGTTTGAAGAATGGCTCTTGATCAAATTTCACTTACTCTTTTTCTCAGTAACTAAGAATGTAACTCTATTTAACAACATGGCCTTTTTGTTCCTCACGAGTGCCTCACCCAGCCAAATGTCCTCTGATTTTAACTAGTGTACAATACTAGGAAGTCAGGTCCTGTTGAAATCTGGTTTTAGTAAATATGATAGATATCCTTCATAGTATCTCCCGTCTATTTATTTATATTAGAAAATCTTTGGCGTTGGCTGGCTGATAATAAAAGCAGGATCAAATGAGATATGGAATGTGGTATGGCTTCAATAATAATTAAGGCTGAAGCCCAGCTGGATGTACTGTTGCAATTCATAGCAGCTTCATCTAATGGCATCTTTCTCTATCAATTGAAAAAAATTCTTTTGGATTTCTGTGTTGCTAAAAAACATATACAAATAAACGGCTGAATGCGAATTTTTATAAACATTTAAAAAATTTAAAATTAAATTAACATTTAAAAACTTTTCAATGCTAAGAGTAATGGTATTTCAAAAAGCTTTATCTTGGTATTTTACTCCAGTTAAATATGAATGTTAAAATGCTGAATTAAATTCCATTAGGGATAATGATTAGACTTTCTTATCTTTTTTTATACATTTTGAAATTTTTGACAGGTCGATTCAGCTGATACCATATGTTCTGTTGGCTCAGCTGATGTTGTTTTATTTCAAGAGGATAACCATGAGAATGCCATGAGATTCAAAGAATGCAGAATAGTTCCTGGTTTTAGCCTGCCTCATTTTAAGGGCTCCCTCCATTTGATTACCAAGGTCCTTGGGGCATAAAACAGAATGACCCTAAACTAAACTAAACTAAACTAAACCAAAATTTATTTTTGTAACATAACCAAAGGATGAGCCTTGCAATCAGTTTGCTTTATGCTTCTGATTATGTTAAATCAGTATTGTAACCATTACGGATCAGTCCATTCAAATGTCAAAATTTGAAAGTATTTGTGACCTAAATGAGATCTGTTTTCAAATATCCTTTCCTATTCATATTTTAAACATAAAATATATTGACAGTGGCAAACAGCTTCACAGCAAGGCATTTGTGACCTCCTGTTTGGTTTTAAAGAAGAGACTATAAAGACTATACCATGCTTCGCATTGCTCATGTGTAAACTATTTAGTGATTTAACTTTTTATTAATTAACAATGTCTGAATAGTGAATAATAAAGTAGATAAAAAGGTCATTCTTAAGCTGAGCCAACACAGTTGTTAGAGTATCTGGCCCCTCTGTTATTGTTCATCTAGAAGCTATGGAAAATAGCTATATTATGAATCACTCTATGAAATATTTTTGAATACCATGTTATTGAAATCCCCATGGAACCTGTCTGGATTACGACAATACTTCTTTTCCTACCCTTTATCAGTAAAATCCCACAGAGATCATGGTAGACTTTTAATGACCTTTGCTTATAAAAACATCAAAACTATATCTATTCTAACTTGACAGCTAATTAAAAAAGATTTGTCTCAAGTCTGATGTGGACATTGGTTAAATAACCTCTTCAAGCACCTTCATTCATACTTACACTGTATTATGAAATAACAAAGTTTAATAGTTCAGACACTTTTCCTGTACAGAACACAGGCATCTTATAAAAACTAGAACATTAGAAACACAAACCAGCATTGAAACTGCTATTTCTCAATTTTGACATGAATAGTAACATTTGCCAAGTGAAACTGCCATGCCCTTATTTTTTCTAGAAATGAAATGGAAAAATCAAGTTCCGTCTTTTATCTTTTAAATATCTATGTCAACTAATCTTACTTCCACTGAGAGGAATGAGAGATCTGGATGTGGGATCAAACCCTTTGCAAAATTTTCCTTCTACTTTTTCCTACAGCCCCACAAGTTTAGGGAAGCCCACTCATTTTTCTCTTCTGGTTTGGGTTTGGCTTTGTTTGGTGTTTTATTTTTTTATTCCATTCTTTTCAGGCAAAATGGAATAAAAACTTCCAGGTGAGTTTCTGACTACACGTGGATACTGAAGCAATGTAATACACACAATGCACGAGTCCTTTAATGGAATGTCACTAAATGCATATGTAGATTATCTCAGCACTAATAGAATCTCATTTTCATATCCAAAACACACTGAGTTAATAGCACTGACCCCACTTTATTGAGCCTGCAGGTAAATCTCAAGTTCTAACAGCTCTAAGTTAACAACTAACACTAAATGTCCTTAATCTTTTTAGACAGAAAACCAATGTATAGATTTTAGCATAGATAGGTGCTAAATCCAGCAAGGTCCTTGTCAGAAAAAAGCAACTGCCTTGTCTTTTAAAAGGTTGCAAATTCAGAAAGTGTCCCAGTCCTCACTTATCTCAAATCAAGGTCTTTCAAAAAGTGCAAGAAGTTGTTGCTTTCACTCTCTAGCTCACTCTGGTGTTTAAGATACTTCCCACAGAAAGACAGCTGCATTGTTTTGCTCTTCTTGATTCAGAACAAGTGTTTGCATATGGTTTTCCAACATCTTGAGTGCTTTCAGCAGCAGGACACAGAACCATTTTTTTAAATTGGTTTTGCTCTAGGCTTGTGAATCCTGAAATTTTATGAAATTTGGAAGTGCCCTACAACACAAAAGAGCTATGTCAAAATAGTCAGTGTTCTAGTTGGGTGGACACACGCTTAAATGGGCGCATGGCCACTCAGTTTTGCATCCAACCTTTTTGAAAAGGCTAAGCATCTTTCTACAGAAAGATTCTGTAATTAATATTTTCCAATATGCAACAATTTAAATGACTCTTATTAATTACTTACTGTATATAGCACTGTATGTATGGGAAGCCAAACCACATCAATCAGAAAGGGCATGTAAATGGAGCTCATTACTTTGATGTAACTGTATTACATATTGGGTATAACTGAGCTAATAAAATTACCCTTTTATAACAATTCGACATCTCAAATCTCATTTGCTACTTCTGGAGCAATGTCCTTTGATTTAGTAATGTGCTTGAAAGGTCTGTAGTTGTAGCTCTGTGAAAAAACTTATAACTGGTAGCAACACTATGGGTATAAACTTCTAACAGATGTGTTTAATTTGATATTGAAGACATATACTTTTAAAAGCAATTTTACTGAAAAACTAAATGATGTTCAGGTGGAAATGGCATTCAGCTGTTGTATTTTGAACTTCTTTCCACTCACCATCCTCAGAAACGTGTGCCAGTTATGATGGACTGCTGTATTATTTGCAAGATTTAATGTGTGCTGGACACAGTAATTTTCTTAAGTAACGGTGGAACCAGGCTCTTTTCTGCTTGGGCCTTGAAGCTGTACCCATCGCAGCTGTACAACCCCCTTAAAAACATTGTATGTGTGGCAGTGAATTAGATTTGTGTCTTTGTAAACTGTTCTTTCTATGTAGTTTTGGAAATAATGAGCAGTATACTGCTGCTTAGTTTATTCTGACTTTTGTTTTTCCCTCTTGTCCTACACCCTGCCTTCTTTGCCATACTTTCTAAATGTTGTCTTGCAGTGTCTCTGTAGGGTCTTGAAAATGTCTCCTGAGTTTGTCTGTGGTTACTAACAGGAAGACTTTTGAGGGTGACAATGGCTCACTCACAAACTAAACCAAAATGGGTTGAGCAAAATGCCAGGGTCTTGCAAAATACCTGCCCGGCCATTGAGGCAAACATCCCTTTGGCTGCGAAGCCCAGACCTCAGAAATTCCTTTTTTCCTTCCTCATTTCCCTTCTTTCCCCTCCTTCCTCCTCGCCTCTTAGTACCTTTTATTATGGAAAAAAAACCTCTTTTTGTTAAAACCTGAACTCTGAGTCTTGCTCTCCTTAGCCCTGTTGCTGACCATTACTCTTCAGCCTGCCGCCCGGGAGACCATCCCTCATCCAGTTTCAAGAGCCAGGACAGGGAGGAGAAGACCAAAAAGCACTTGTGGAGTTTGCTTATGCCTCACAACAATGGCTGAACCGGGGAAATGTGCACTCGAAGGAGGTGAGTAAACAACAGTAAACCCGGTGCTCTGACGACGTTTATTTAGGATGCTGTTACTATGGAGCATTTGCAGCTACTAAATAGGACTTGGCCTTAATCTGTCACTATATAAAACTGTCATTAGTTACATTCACAAGCACTTAAACATCTCCAAACAAAATGAGTTAAACAACATCTCATCGCTTTTTAATGTTTTTACAATTTTAGTTTTAAGAGGGCAGTAGTTATTGCGTGCTCATAGGGCTCTGCTGGTCATGGTCTTGTTGGTCTCAGAGCAAAGTTTTCTGGGGGTGGTAGAGGCTTTTGGAGATCTTTGGGGTTTTTTTAGGTCCCTGTCCTTTGAGTCAGGTAATGGAGGTTAACACACAGGTAGGAGGTGTTGGTTAAACCTTCGTCAGCTCTTTCAGTTCCCACCTGATTTAGGATCTGAATGTTAGCCCCAACTCTAATAACACTGGAATCATCAAAGGTGTGCTATTTTGGACAACCATAATTTACATTAGTTTTGTAGTCTAGCCTTCATGATCTCCTTGAAGCACCTGACTGTTGAAGTCAGACATGTAATGGTTAGTGTAATAGTGTTTAAATAGTTTATGTCTTATTAAAATTGATTATTTATCTTGGACAATCACTACCCTAGCATGGGTCCCAAGACAGTGGGATAATTCAGCCCTCTCTCTGAGTCCCCTATGGACAAAGCTATGCCCCCCCGCGCTCGGCATCTCTGCTCTGCCAACATCCCAGAGCTGAAGCAACTGAAATTTGCTGGAGCTTCACTACAGTTTTACAGCCTCTGCTTTCTTTGGCCTCGGGGGTGGTAGAGGCTTTTGGAGATCTTTGGGGTTTTTTTAGGTCCCTGTCCTTTGAGTCAGGTAATGGAGGTTAACACACAGGTAGGAGGTGTTGGTTAAACCTTCGTCAGCTCTTTCAGTTCCCACCTGATTTAGGATCTGAATGTTAGCCCCAACTCTAATAACACTGGAATCATCAAAGGTGTGCTATTTTGGACAACCATAATTTACGTTAGTTTTGTAGTTTAGCCTTCGTGATCTCCTTGAAGCACCTGACTGTTAAAGTCAGACATGTAATGGTTAGTGTAATAGTTCAAAGGTGTGCTATTTTGGACAACCATAATTTACGTTAGTTTTGTAGTTTAGCCTTCGTGATCTCCTTGAAGCACCTGACTGTTAAAGTCAGACATGTAATGGTTAGTGTAATAGTGTTTAAATAGTTTATGTCTTATTAAAATTGATTATTTATCTTGGACAATCACTACCCTAGCATGGGTCCCAAGACAGTGGGATAATTCAGCCCTCTCTCTGAGTCCCCTATGGACAAAGCTATGCCCCCCCGCGCTCGGCATCTCTGCTCTGCCAACATCCCAGAGCTGAAGCAACTGAAATTTGCTGGAGCTTCACTACAGTTTTACAGCCTCTGCTTTCTTTGGCCTCTGAGAGGAACAGTCTGAAGGCTGGATTTGTTTGGTATTTTCTGAGTTTTCTCAGAATATAGTTTGAATCAATCACCTCTTTCTTTTTTTTTTAATATAATTTCATTCCCAACCCCTATTTTTCCATTATGTTACTGAGCTAGAGTTTCACTTTCACTAACCAGGACTGGAATAAACTCCTGTTGTCTCTCTGAGTGTGACAGTTGACATCCTGAATTTATACATTAATATATTTTAAACCACAATTAAAATACACTACGTTGCACTTTAAAAGCTGATCTCACCATCTTCAGTTTAGCTCATTTTTCCCTCCCTCCACCCGTGCCCCCATTCCAATGGTGGATTGAAACCAGGCTTTCTGGCTTCAGCCTTTTGAGATCTGAATTTGATCAGTGATAGAGCGCTGGAATGTCTGATGTGAAGTAGAAAAGATTTATTGCAATCAGCGTTAGTGCATGCAAAGTCACGCCATCCTGTTTTGCGAGTTACCTACAGCCTCTCTCTTCCCTCCAACCACTGCACCTACACCTCGTTGTAGAGGAGTCTACCTGCAATCCCAACTCAAGCAAGGGTGGGTTTTTTTCATGATTCATTCAAATATGTAATAATTATGATCAAAGCATATTTCACAAATCGAAATTAATCACATTTTTAGTGTTGGCCCGTGAACAATAAACTTCTTCTCGTAGGGAGCCCTACTAGAGATTAGTGAAAGTTCAGAACTTAATTTCTCTTCAGTGCATTTTTGGGGGGTAGTAAATGATTTCATACAGAGTTTCTGGCTCTATGTGAGCTTTCCTTTTGGCACAAGTTTACTTAAAAAATAAAAATGTAGAACAGACAGTAGCTGCGTTTCATAAACCATTCTATTATTTCAAGTTGATTTTTAATGCTATATCTAAACTGACAGAAAGAAAAAGTTTGGCAAGTGTATTAGATAAATTATCTGTGATGCTTTTAATTTATAAGGGAGATTGTGATTCACTTTTAAGCACAAAATCATATAATCAATTGGCAACTTAAAAACACATTTTCATTCCTGTTGGCTTTCCTATAAACTGCACACAGAGTAAATAAAAAGTGTACCCGTCAGTCAGTAAGTGAGTTTGTGGGGTTTTTCTTTTTCTTTCAGTAACATTATATATGTGCATGTAAAATTTAGCCCAGTGGGAGCAGTTTGTTTATGACAGAAATCTGTTTCAAAGGGCTTTTAAACATAGCATTTATCGCACATAGCGTGAGTCTATCTGGTTTTGCTGTCACAGAGATTCTTATGGCATGCTCACAGTGTAAAGATGAAATGAAGCTCCTTGTCTGAAATATGGGAAAGATTCCACAAAATGTCAGTTGCTCAAAATCAATAGTGGAAGAAAATCAATTTACTGAGTAATAGATCACTTCAGAAAGTGCCCAAAAGCTGTGAATTATTTGAGGGATATGACCTTGCTGTCTTCTTATTGTCCCAGAGGATGACGAAAGTAGAGAGAGCTAATTTCATGTGTGTCTCTCATGCTGATATTTATCAACAGCACTGATATAATCTTAAATTTAAAAAAACAAAACAACAAACATACAGTACACCACATCCTCCAAGATGAGTTTCTAGCAGTGGCCAAACGTTCCGGATTAGTTGCAACAAAAGGGAAAACTTTAAAAACTTTGAGAAAAAACAGACATGACAGCTCTGAGGGAACATGTTAGCTACTTCACGAGGTAAGCACACAACATGACCGAGGAAAATATGAGGCCTGTTGGACCACAAAGTTGAATAAAATGATTTTAAACGGTCTTTTGGATGTCCTTTAGAAATAGTCTTTGAGTTGGAAAATCAATGAGAAGAGTTCAGCACAGTTCTTGGTGCGGCTGGATTTACTGTTTAGTGAGGCTGTTGGTACAGTGAAGTCCCAGAAATTCCAGATGCTTGCAGGATACACTCACAAGCCAACTAGAAATGTGGTTATAGGCCATGTGGGTAGCCTATTACTTATTATTACTAAGCTTTGCCAAAACTTTTCACAAAGTATCCAGAAAGCTAGATTAAAGACAGAAATCTGTATGCTGGTTTCTACCAGTGATGTAGACCCACCTTTATGGGAACCTCTGCTATGAACAGGCCTTTGCAGTGAATTCTTCTGTCTAAAAACAAGAAAGATGAAATTTCCTTTATCTTAGTAAAAATCCTGTTTTCTTGGAGGAGTTAGTTCCTTTCCCTTTCCATGTGCAGAGTTGGCAGTCCAGGTGGTCACTTCATGGCCCAGAGACCCTGTAAAATGAAGGGATTCATACTGGGGGACTTTGGAAGTGGGGGAGCACGCTGACTGACCTTTCTCTCCAGAATGCTGAGCCATGAAAGTTGGGAGCAGATTTTTAATTGACAGTTTGGTACTTTGAATACATGCAGAGCTGAACCCAAGCTAAGCTTGAGGGCTAAGAGTCTAATCAGCTGCTATCAGTTCGAAAATCGTATGTTTCATTTACATGTGATACAGTTTTCCCACTGCTGGCACTGGAGGAAGTTTGCATGTGCTGACAGCCTTAAGCCATTGAGATTGCATTTGATTCTAGGATTTACGAGAGAACTTTCCAGACCCTTTTCTGAACGTTTTGTGCTTCAGTGCGTGTCTGATCTGCCATGGCAAGATTTACAGAATTGGAGTTAGGGGGAGACTTTTGAGAGATTTTTTTTATTTGTATTCAGAAGTTAAGTGTTCCTTGGAAGATGGTTACTTTTGTGGAATAAAATCGTGTCTCTTTCATGAAGACTCTCCTATAACTGTTTTGCTAATTTTATCTCAATGATTGTAGTGAAATGTTCAAGGATGGACTATTGGCAGCTGGGCAGGCATTATTTAATTTACCTGAATGTTAACTGCATAGTAACAGAGCCAGGGTGCACTTGCTGTAAGAACTAATGCTGCTACTATGTTCACCAAATGAAGTTACTTCTGTTTATTTTTCTTCTAATTTATTTGAATGATGTCATCTATGCTGTTGCCTCGTGGTCTGTGCTTACTAACCTCAGTGCAGCTCCTTCTGATGTTTTAAATCACAGCGGCTTTAGTAGCACATGTAATTAAAAGCCATGTCTGGACGCATGTTAGTTGTTTTACTCGCCGTAGGTGTAAATTATACGTGCCTAGGTTACAAAAGAAAGTCTATTTAATCTGTGTCAGGTGGTTAATTGACACAGAAAGTCATAACCTCAGCTACCATAATCTTAAAATGCCACCTCTTGGATCCTCTTTCTAGTTCTTCAGTCTCCTCTCCCTCCACTTTGTGTTGATGAGTCAACTGACCCCTGTGGTGGACACCATTGCCTACCTGCACCACCTTACCCCATGTCTGACCTCTGCCTTGGCTAAGCCAGCCTTGCCAGCCTCAGTAGCCACCATCTGCTGTCTTTTACATGCATTATTCGTAAGAAAACTCCAGTCAGGCAACCATCTATTCCATTTAAATCCCTGCTGCTCGACTGTGGTGCTCTTTACTGAGCAAGACATCAGTCAAAAAATCGACTGTTCTAAACTCATCAGCTAAACAGACCTTCAAGTCATGTTTATGGTCCATCTCAGTTTATCCTGGCTAAAGAGCTGTCTTACCTTATTTCACCAGCTGAAGTTGCCCATTGTTCCCTTAACTTTATTGATATTTATTTGGACAGCAGAAGGGAAGCTGACTGGGTGGTGCTTGCACAGCCTGAGTCACTGGAAGGTACTAGTGGGCGGCTGGGACACAAGGAAGGCCCAGAGGTCTCTCCAGGGGAAATGTCTGGGGCTACAATCAGGCCCTTATCCTTGTTTGAAAGTTGTACATGCTTCTCTAATAGAGAAATAAATACAAATAATGACACCTATTAACGCAGGCAGGCTTTGGCAAGTACTTTTTTTCCATGTTTTTCACTGTGAAAATTAATCTGCAAAGGTTAATAATAAGCTATTACGTATTTCTGAAGTACTTTATAGTTAAGTAACAGAAATTCTTAATTATTTATGCAGGTACTAACCAGCACAGTGAAAGGAAAGACTGTGACTGAGGTCCTTGTACATATCAGACACAGAGGGTGCTTGGATCAGTTCCACAGAGACAAAGACATACGTGTATGAGCTCAGCTCACCTACCTGTGACACACAAGCCCAGGTGGATTTATTCTCCCAGTATGTATGCCTGTTATTAATGCTATTAAAAATTATTGCTCCAAGAAAGATGAAAATATGCCCTTAAGCTAGCGGTTTAACATTTATTTCCAATCTTATTTTTGTTTTTTTGGAAACATAGAAGAGAAATATCCCTCGTTTCCCATGAGGACCCAAGGGGAACAATATAAACTTTGTATTTTAGTGTTAAAAATGTAAACACAGATGAAATGTACTTCAGAGCTCATTTTGCCAAAGCTTTTCTTGGATGATTTCCATCAACATACTTATTGTAATTATTTTCCAAATGTTAGCCATGTGATTCTCATTTGCTACATGCTTAATTCCTACCTTAAATTGGGAAACTCAGGTATTACTAAAGATGGCAGACACCTAAAGATTTGTAGGTTCAACCTGCATAATGGCCCCGCAGCGGTCACATAGTGCTCGTGTACTCTTATATGAACTACAACAAGAGCTGGTTGAAATTCTATGTGTGGATTTAGTCCTGTGCCTTTTGAAGCTAAAAAGCAGATGTTATCCATGGCATGATACTTCATGTATAAAATTAATATTTAAAATTGACTCTTTTAAATTTATTTCTGGTATTCCACATGCAAAGGCCTAAGGGTTCCCATCAAAAGCTGAAACAAGTCATTAAAGATCAAAGCAATTAAAGCATAATTTGGTCTACCATTGAATTCTGTTCTCGTCGTCTACTTCTTTTATTCCTCCTGCCCTAGACACCAGCCACAAAGAAACTTTGTCTCTCAAATACAGGTTAAAAGCCAAAGCTTAAACACTGGCTTATCAATCACAAAATAAATAAGAAAATAAAAATTTTGGAGATAATTGTCCCTTCACTTATTTTTGTTCTGTAGCTAAATCACTCCATTGAATATAATACCCACTGTCAGAAGTAAAATGCAGAGTGTCCACTAAAATGTCTTCATCCTATATGGATATGGCCTTTCTCCTCCTCTGTCTCCTACTTTAGAAACATCTGGTTGGATCACAAACAGTGTTGACTGGTTTTGTGGCAGTTGGGGATGCTGTAATGCTGACACCAAGCTGACTTCCTTGCAATCCCAAAAGAGCATTAAAAAAAAATCTGAGAAAAAGACCAGCCCCACCCAAAATGTTAAATGCAAATCAACTCTGTCAATCATGGGCTACATCTTAAGACAGATTTCTCTCAAGAATGTGATTTCATCTTGCAACATTTGAATGTCTTTGCACATCTCTGTAGATCTTGTAATTCCCTGAAAAAGGTTCTGCACCGCACTTTTTTGTTTAATAAGTCTTTAATTTGTGTCAGAATATCTTTTTAATTTTATGTAAAACAATTTGCTACCCCATTTACTGAGGCAGATGGTAAAAAACAGGAAAGCCAATGGATCACATCCATCAAAAAGTGACCATTTCCATCACTATTGCCTATATCCCTTCCAGTGTAAGAGGCAGAGGGCAGCCTTGCGTTTCTTTATTTTCTATCATCCTTGGCTTTACTTTATGTTTTAATTCCAAATGTTATGAGACACAAGGTGGGTTATTCAAAACTATTTATTAGCTTGTTAAACTGAAATGCCTTTGCTCTTGGGCCAAGTTTTATAGGAACCCACAAAACATTGAAGTACCTCACAGGCAGCGCCCCACCTTTGTAGATGACATCAGTGCAACAGGACTTGATTTTTCAATATATCTTTAAACATATTTTTCTAACAAGTACACATTCTTACATGTATTTTCTTTCACTTAAATCAGCCAAGCTATATGCAGCCATGATTTATGTCTCCCAAAGGATCTTAAGAATTTAGAATCTATAAGCCTGATCCTAAAGTCGTTACTCAGGCAAAATGCCTGAAATAAACCAGAGGATATATAAGGTTTCATATAACATTTGGCCACGAAGAAAAAACATCATTAACAAAAGCAATTACAGGTATCAAAGCTAAACTCTGCCTCGTAGCTCAAAGTGAAGGAGTAATAATTAAGATACACTATGACTTGCTCCGGTTTCCTTGATGGGCTCTGTCTTTCCAGAAAGGGTCATCCGCTCCACCACATCAGGCAAGAGCACTAGCTGGCATTTATTCTACACAGCCAGAATACAGCCCATCTAAACCAGCCTCTCTGCCCCTCCAAAGACAGATAGTTTGGAAGTCAGGGCCTTGACACCCACCATTTTCCTTCCCAGATCTGCTCGTGTTGGGCCGCCAGGATAGATACAGCCACATATCATGTTCCTCGTGATCTTACTACAAAGCAGACCATAACTGCAGCCTCAGCAACTAACCCACATGTCTGTTGCACATCTGTGCAGCAAAGAAGCCTGTGATATGGTTTTTGGGAGGTTTGTTGGGTGGTGTTTTTTTAAAAAAACTTTTGTCAGGGAATATTGAAGCTGGAGTTATGGTTTTCTGTTATCGAATGAAATGTCATTGAAAGGATCTGCTGCATCTATCTGCCCTGTGTCTCAAGCTACCACAGTGTTTATAGACAAATCATATGTTATTTGAAAATCTCTTATCTGGAAAACTACCCCCTTCTTATGGTGGCAACGTTCATTTCCCTAAACCCAGCACAATTTAGGCTTGTCAGACAGTGAGTTTTGGTGACACGTGTCAAAGGTGCAGTCCCACGGTGGCTCCAGCAGATTGAAAACCAGACGGCCCCTGCTAAGCTGGGATTCATTTCACTCTGCCTTAGGCCACACTGACCTGCCCAAATGCCCACACAAAGGAGTAGTTCAGGGAGCACTACCCCCACTCAAATATTTGGGGGGGGGAGTTGATTTCAGAGAGTCATCTACCTGTGGCAACTCTCTCTGCCACTTCTCAGCCACGCTGCTATGGCAAAGGGTGACTGGGACAAGGACAGGAGTGGGGATGAAGCTTGGACCAAGACAATTCAGACTTAGGTTGGTTTATCATGCACTGGAACCACAGGTTCATGCAAATGGAGCGCCACCGGTTTATAGCCATTGAGAACATGGACTGTAAAATTTAAGTAAAAAATCATATCTGGTGCCTTTTTCAGAAGGAAATTCACTCAGTATTCAGTGTGAACTGCTACAGAATTGGTATTGTTGAAGTTAATGGAATGAATTGTGACACAGTTCCTAAAATAAACACCCTTTTAATGGAATCCTTTCCCTGGTTCATCTCTCTGTCGCCCCGTTTTCCTCTGAGTGGAAAGTTCACATTATACCATGACAACAGAGCACTGGCAAAAGGAAAGAGAGACCCCACTTCATGCACTGTTTTGGAAGTTCCCTAGAGTGAAAAATGATATCTTGAGGAAGAAGATTCCACAATGCCTTAAGGTACAGTACATTCTCTAAAAATGATGCCTAAGCATCTTTTTTTTTTATTATCTATAATACTTTCAGCATAGTAAGATTACAGACACACTAGTAAGGATTTGCTGGGAGCTATAACAGTCAAATCTTTCTTTAATAAATTACCAGCATAAAAAAGCAGCCTTTTACTAGAAATTGATTTAACACTAACAAAATTGTGCTTATCTTAATGACTTAATTTGGTGTTCAAGTGAATATCATATACATTTCCTTGGGGCTTTAAACAGAATCTAAAAATACTTGTAATGGATATTTAAAGTAAATTGTCTCTCTCCCATAGCATGGAAACATTAGGTCTATGTCTGAATTAATGCAATAGGTATTTGAACAGATGAAGTGGAAATTTCAATGGAAATACAGAATGGACTTTTCAATACAGGAGCCTGTTAACTACATTCCAGGACTTGATTTATGGGTCCTTTTATTAATGTATTTCAAATAAAAGGCTATAAAATTGGAAGGTCATGAAGAATTGCTGACATCACTTATGATGATTATTTGCCGTCTTGGACACTTTTATTGATGCCTTAATGCTCGGTAGCTTTGAGCTACCTGCCATGCTGAAAACAAAAAGACAATTGCTCCTGTTATTTCCAATGTCTCTGTATTCCTTAACTGTGGAGTGGTGGCGGCGTTGTTGTTTTTTTACAGCAGAAATGGGTCTTTCATAAAGCTTTTGTGATGATATAAGATTTTAAAAGAAATTGAATACTCAATTTAATCTCAAAGTCTTAAAATTAATTAAAAAGTCAGCCTGGGGAAGGTCAGACAGCCCTGTTTTTTGTTGGGAGTGACTTCAAGCGTGAAGTCTGTTCAGGTGATGATGGCAATACCTGAGCAATCGAAGACAGCAGTGAACCAGCCCTTCAGTCATGAAGAAGGAAAAGTACATTTCCTGAAGCTGTAACATTCTGTGAATGCTAAATACTAAATACTGGTGAACACTAAAACTGTCCCATGACTCGCTGTAAATCAGATTTGAGTTCAGCAATAATATTTTCCTTGCTATTCTGAAGAAATTCTGGTTACAGACGACATTTGCAATCTGGTTGAAGATTACAATTAATTCTTATTATTCTTATCACAACTGTCCCCAGTTCTTCTAGGTAGGTTAACTTCCCTGTAGCCAGATCTGTCAACCAGAGACTGTACTGTTCTGAGCAAACACACGCTGGTGTCAATAAACTCTCAGTATTGCAGAGAATTATGCAAAAAAACCCCATAATATGTTAGAGGTGTTTTTCACCTAAAAAATAAAGAGGTACTCTAAGAGCCAACATCTGTAATACACATAGGGAATGTAGATGATAGCCACTGCTGAAGGACAGTGCTGCAATCTTTTTAATCCACTGTTTTGAGGAAAAAGTAAAATCATCTGATTTCTTAACATTATAGGCTGTCCTTAGCCAAATGTTTTATTAAGCAGAGCCAAATCTGGTTAATCCGTATTACCTGTACTTCAAAAAACACCCAAACTGCCTTGCAGTGTGCACTGCTGGTTTATTCTGTGACATGAATATGTTTTGAATACAAAACTATCATGAATAAAGTTCTATCATGAATACAAAACTACAATAAACAGAATCCTGCTCAGAGCAACGCAAGGCCAAACCCAAAATAACATTTAAATGGAAACACAGAGGAATACATACAAAAGTTTTCACTGCCAAAATAAAAATGAAGTAGAAACCTCTAGTTCTCCCATGCATAATGCTTTACCTACATATTTCTATTCTCCCTTACAGTCATTTGAACAGTATGCTTTAATATATTGCAATACTGGTTAGACATTTATTTTAAAAATTAAGAAATGTTTAGGAAATGACACAGTTTAGCCAGTGGCAAGTAAGTGAAATTAAAAGTTGGCCTTTTGCCACTAAAAACAGAGACATGCTCCTAATGTGTTGACTCAAAACTCATAACATTTCTGGCAAATGAAGCATGAAACATATTGTCAGATATGTAAAGACTTACATCCAGAAAACTACACTTCAGGAATGCTAAGACTGCAAGTCAAGCACATAGAAGTTAAAAATTGCGGGGGTTAAAGCTGGCTAAGTTATATCAATTCAATGTACTTGTAGATGTTATGGCGTTCTTTAATTACACGGTAATTGCGATACCTATTTAAGTGCACAAATGTCGCGTACTGATGAGGGCAAGATCCAACTGTTGGCCCAGCTCTGGCTGGACTACCTCCATCCACTCCATTGCTGTTCTTCCATATGGCCAGATGCTTGGACCTTACGGGGTTGCCTGGATGACGTCCTTCTGGGAGGGGGAGGTGGGAGGGTGGGAGGCACACGTCTCTCCTCACAGCCGGGCTCGGAGCCAGGAGTCACGGTGCCAACATAACCTGCAAAAAGAAATCCAAAGAGCAGGAGCTAGCCCTGCACCTACAGAGCTTTGGCCACCTGATTTATTGCCCGAGTCTGCTTGTGGGAACACTTGATATATTTTTACAGAAGCTGAGAGGTGTCAGTGAATAAAACAGAGGCTTTCAAGAAGAGAAAGGACAATATTAGTACTAGAAGAAGCTGAAAAAAAACTCCAATATTG